TACAAGAAAAAATAAGTTATGATCGTCCTAGTCAGCAGTTTTAAGCGTGTGTGATCTGTCGTTTTACTGGCGTGCTCATCATGTTCACAGGTCAATGAACTGCTCAGGCAACTTGTACCTCCTGGATCTATAAACCTAACAAAAATTGTAGTAAATACAGCGGTGAGTATGATAGGTACCAAGCGTTTTATAAATTAATGAAATAAATATTTTAGGAAAACGATTCAGCCTACTTTGCTCTATGGAATGATGGGAAAGTAAAAAGCGAAAAGACACTGCGGGATTTCATCACAACATAAACAAGTGCACGCAGTTGTGGAACACAGATTTTGTGACGCTGCTAACGGGGTGAGATAAACGTTTCAATACTTTTTCAATAGTTGCCATTGTAACGCCAGCAACTTTGTGTTGACGATATGAAAATTCTGATAACAAATCCTACTACCTTATCTTTTTTGGCTGATTTAACGAGCTGTTCACATTAGCGAAGTCTCAATACTGAAACACAAACTTCTTTAGAGCAATTGAAAGCCAACATTATACGTAACAACTGAGTAAAAGTATAGGAAACAATATTATCCGGTTATATATTGATAACTATATGGGCAAACCATATTAGGCATCCTGAGAATTGCATTGTGCTAATGAGAGAACATGTCCCGGTACAATGATGCAACGCAGCGTGTTTGTATTACGTGATGTAACAGGACATTCATACGAAAAGAACTTTTGTATGCCAAATGAAGTGAATTTACACAGCCTAAGCACAAATTTTCATATGAATCTGATTCTCGCAGCATATCACAAAACAAACAAATATTTCAGGAATGTGTCATGCCTCTGAATAAACAAACGTTTTTTCATCAATTCGTAAGCAAGCATTATATGCGGGAGCTCAGGAAGCATATAGAAAAGTATTTATCTGGCAATATATTTGTTGATTTGTGTGTTCAAAGGTAAACAAGCAATCCATCATGTCTTTCTAGAAGCCCTCATAAGAAATTTCCCGCCATGGTTGTGCCATCGCTACTGTGCTAGACTGTTTGCCTTGAAGATGACCTAATGGTTTCCGGCCACCGCAGTGCATTTAAATGAAGGGGTAGTCTAGAAAACGTTGTAATGAAAATGTTCATCAGTGAATAAGTTCGTCAACGCTTCCTGTGCGTGCCGTGCAAAAATAAATGAGCAATGTGACGACGCGGTAACAACACACATGAGGTTCATGACAGAACACGGAAAATAAGCATAGTAAACACCGAGGTACAAAAGGCACAACGCAAAAAGAGGAACAATAACTTGGTTTTAAAAGGACCAGCAAGAGTTCAAGGAAGAACATTCGCAACCCGAGGACAAGATGGGCGGTACGACAGACGCTGATGAGGTGCAGGGCAGGACGCGGTTGAACGGCGCTGTGGAATGCGCTCACGTGTCGACATATGACGCTCTGGTGGCGACGGCGCTTGACGGCGTGGGTCCGACTACGGAGCAGTCAATTCGCATTTGGAGACGCGATGTTCCATGCGGGGAATAGCCAACCCGCACAGCGAACGCCTTGCGTCGAGACGCGATTCTCGGCGCAACCGTGACTATTAGCCAGACCACGTCCGTCTCTGTGCCGAACGGGCTGACCGCGAAAACGCCTCACCGAGATGCACGATGCCCTCGGCAAAGAACAGAGCAGCAGGCCAGGACGCGCCCCGAGATGCAGTAGTCATTCCGGCAACGCCACCCCTTCTGGTGTTTGGACGGCAACAGCGAGGACGGCCGCGTTCCCTGGCTGGAACCTGAATCGCCGGCGTCCGACTTTTCGTCCCGCTGTCTTCCGTCTGCCGCTGCTTCGGCTCGTACCCAGTCACGATGCTTACCCCCCTCTCGTTATGCTGACACGTGGCTCAATTTGGTACGCCACCTCTATGGGCCACCACAGGTCATGAGCTGATTGCCTGACCTCACGCACAAACTTGGCACGAAATCACACGCGCTTGCCGCCGCACCATCGTCGTTGTCATCGTTTTTTTTTTACTCATCACAATAACCCTCCACACAAGAAAGTTATTTCAGTAAAAACAACCTATTATAAACTAACACAGTGATGACGAACAAAACCACCAGACTATTGCTTCGAGCAATATCCAGAGATGCCACTCCAATTCACAAACTCGTATACGTTTTTAAGGTGGCATTTTTTAACGCTGAACAATGACAACATTGAAATATATACACCCAAAAACAAAACAAACAGCAGCATCGGTTTTAATCTAGCAGTAATAAATGTAGAATTTCAATATATTAGGAAAGAAAATGCTAGACCAACACTTTATACCGACGCTGTTTTATAGAACAGATCCGTGAAATTCAACATATTTCCTTTTAATCAAATGAATTCGTATATGTTGGAACCAGACTGCATACTCTATTAGCTAGCGTCATCGGCTCGTGGAACACGCCAGAATATTTTAACACTTTCTTTGCCTGAAGAGGAATAATTATTGGACAGGCACACATAAGATAATACGTTCGAACATACATTACATTACACTCAACTGAACACATCCAAACTGCTCGCACTTGCAGGCTACTTCCTCCTATAAATAATTATTTTGAGGGCACCGTACGCCTGCCGATAGGAATATTTGTTTCTAGCTGTCCTTCTGACGAACCAAACAACAACAAATGCAGGAAACGCAAGCTGCGTGTAATCTGCAGGACCCAGGTAGTTAATAGGAGTTTCATCGTCCTACTTTAACAGCAGCAGCTCATCAAGAGTTCTCACATCAGCTGCCTTCCGTTAGTACAGAGAGTAAGTTTACTAACTACAGTTGACATTTCGTAGCCAACTTCCGCCACTTTGAGCGTATCTATCTATCTATCTATCTATCTATCTATCTATCTATCTATCTATCTATCTATCTATCTATCTATCTATCTATCTATCTATCTATCTATCTATCTATCTATCTATCCGCCTAGGACTTTTAGCTCTCCTGGCCGTTTTCATTATGGTATCGATACCAAACTTGATATGGCATAACATTACTGTACGAAGAACATATTTGACTAGTCACATCATGAAATCCGCCATGACGGGCATGCCATAAATGCCATGATTCACATTTCATGGTCCTGCAGCTCTAGCGGTAGTTCGTTTACATAACGTGGTGCGAACTGGTATGGTGTGACATGGTTGCTTGCGAACACAAGCGACAGACCCTAACATAAAAATCATGAGATGCGTGTCATGTATCAACATGACTACGTGCCACGCTCTAGATGCGCTGGCGGCCGTTTCACTAGCTTCACTAATATCAAATTTTTTATTATGGGACGTGAAAGGATGACGAAGGTATGATACTGGTGCAAACATGATAATCATGAGATGCATATCATGCAACAACACGACTCATGCTACGCTTATGATGGGCTTGCAGCCGTTTCGTTAGCTTCACGCGTACCAAACTCAGTGTTGCCCGACGCGAACGGATGACATAGGTAAATGACACATCCAAACATGACAATCACAACATGCGTGCCATGTGACAACATGAATATATGCCCCTCGGATGATGCGCTCGCAGCCCCGCCGCGGTGGTCTAGTGGCTAAGGTACTCGGCTGCTGACCCGCAGGGCGCGGGTTCGAATCCCGGCTGCGGCGGCTGCATTTCCGATGGAGGCGGAATTGTTGTAGGCCTGTGTGCTCAGATTTGGGTGCACGTTAAAGAACCCCAGGTGGTCGAAATTTCAGGAGCCCTCCACTACGGCATCTCTCATAATCAATCATATAGTGGTTTTGGGACGTTAAACCCCACATATCAATCAATCAATCAATGATGCGCTCGCAGCCGTTTCGCTAGCATCACATATGCCGAATTTGGTATTACGTAACGCCAATAGATTACAAAGGTATGAGACTGGTGCAAACATGATAATCATGAGAGGGGTGTCATGTGAGGACATGATTACATGCCACAGGCAAGGCGCCAATACATTTCGACGTGACGCGGGGCGCGTGCTCACTGGCGTTCATTTTGTCGCGTCATGCCGGCGTTCTCATGCGATGCGCCAGTCCTGCCATACACTCGCAGGTGCGCGCCACGCTTCGTTGCTTTGACGCATGTGCGTTTCAACGCTTCCAGCGTCCCTCCGTCACGAAAAGAGGCAGACACAGTGCTGACTGGGTAACGTAGTAGGTGTGAAATGCAGCATGTCGCATTTCGCGCACGTTGGTGACGGGTCGTGCCGACGGACGCTCATCGCACCGGTCACGCCTGGCGTCAGACTATAGAGTTCACACGTTTTGCTAACGTATAGCGTCGCTGTGCCGAGCGTGCGCGTGCGTCAACGTTACGTTGAAGTAAATTGGGCCCTTCATGATGCGCTCGTGGCCGTTTGGCTAGCTCCACATATACCAAATTTGGTGTTACGTGACGTCAATTGATGACGAAATATATGACTGGTGCAGACATGATAATCCTGACACGCGTGTCATGTTAGAAAATGAAAGCATATCATACTTATAGCGTGCTCGCGGCTGTTTCGCTGGCTCCACATATACTAAATTTGGTATCACATGAACTGAATAGATGACGAAGGTAAACGACACATACAAACATAATAAACATGACACTGAAGTCATGTACGGCATCATTTACCACCACGTCGCAACGTTGTGCTGATTTTATAGAGACATATCAACATTTCTGATTCTTGTTTCGCATATCATCAACTCCCACTGTGCGTGTGATCTACCATTTTTTTTCCAGGAAGCATCAAATGAAGCTAAAACCTAGCTCTCATGTCTCACTTCTTCCAAACTCCTAGGCACCTAAACTGAACGCTAACAGACAATGTCAAGCCTTGCTTGACTTACACTGTCTTTCTGACAGCTGTGAAGGTAAATGATACGTCCAAACGTGATAATTATAACTTGCGTGTCATGAATATCATGTTTGAAATCATTAGTATGTTTCCATGTTAGGAAACATTAATACATACTACGCTCATAGCGTGATCGTGGGTGTTTCGCTAGCTACACATATACCAAATTTGGTATCAAGTGTCGTGAATTGGCGGAGAAGGTAAATGACACATACAAACATGATAATCATGATACATGATAATCAGGTACATGACTGGTGCAAACATTATAATAATGATGTGCATGTCATGTAACGACATTACTACATACCAAGCTCATGATACGCTCGCGGCCGTTTCACTAGCTTCACATATACTAAATTTGGTAATACGGGACGTGAGTGAACGACGAAGGTAAATGACACGCCTAAACATGATATTCATGGCTTGCGTGTCATGTAAAACATTTCTACATGGTACGCTCATAGCGTGCTCGTGGTCGTCTTGCTAGCTCTGCATATACGAAATCTGGTATTACGTGAGGTTGACAGAATACGAGGTAAATCCCACATGCAAACATAACATGCAAGTCGTGTATGGCATAATTTACGTCACCCTCGTAACGTAGCGCTCATTTGAAAGTGACATATCATTGTCCGTCATTCGTGCTTCGCATATCATGGAGTCCCACAGTATGTGGGATCTGCCAATTTTTTATGATTTTAATCGATCGCACAGGCATGCTGTGCTCAAGGAGCCAATAACAAAACACTGGAACAGATGTACACCAATGACTCTTGGTGGTCGCTGCGCGTTTGTCGACTCGTGCCAACAACAACGTTGATCATCACGACCAACAACGACTAGCGAATGTTGACGCCAGTGAACACTAACGTGCCTTGAAATGTATTCCTACGATTGACGAAACCACAATTCGGCCCAGGGATCACTTACTGCTTCAGCTAGCGTCACCCGTAGTCGCATCACCACTAAAGTCTGCGCGGAGTGATTCGTGAAACGACGGAAGCACAAATCACTAGTAGGATCTTCAGGGAGCAATGTGGAAATCTTCGCTTGTAGCATGAATGCTCTCCCTGCACGTAGTGTGAATTCTGGTTGTGGAGAGATCCCAATCGTGTCATACGTCACATGACTTCACCATCCGCGAACACGTTCGTCGTGTAAATAAGTTTTACGGGACTTATGGCACAGACATATCCCGCGCCATCTGTGTCGTGGCTTAGAAGCACGAAGCCACAATGAATGGGATTGAAACAACTACTGCGAAACAATGATAAAAATTTTATGTTCCCATTTGCAACAAGGCAATGTATTTTACATAACATAACGCTGACAGCATCTTGTACCCGTAAACACCCTCATTCCAGCAATCGAGAGCTCTTAGCCGAGGCAGTCTCGTGAATGGCGTTTGTCCTGTGAGCTAGCGCTTCCGCTAACGCCATCTACGTCGCGTCACTCATGTCTGTCACGTGTCCTGAGGAATGGAAGCTAGCTGACACCGTACTAATTCCCAAGCCAGGAAAGTCTCCTAGCGTTGAGAATCTTCGCCTCATTTTCCTCACGTCGTGCGTGGGCAAGGTGGCAGAGCACGCAATTCTCAACAGACCTAACGACTACCTGGAGGGAAATGAGATTTATACGCACAATATGATTGGGTTTCGTACCGGCCTTTCAACGCAGGATGCAATGCTGCTCATTAAGCACCAAGTCCTTGATGGATACTCTAGAGACACAAAGGCTCTTCTTGGCCTAGACCTAGAAAAAGCCTTTGACAACATCAAGCATGAATTCATCTTGGAGACTGTGGCAAAAATGGAAAGGCCCAGGCTGTACAACTACATCAAGTCCTTCTTGTCTGGAAGAAAAGTGAGGCTGCGCATCGGGAACGTCTTCTCTGATGACGTACCACTCGGACATCGAGGCACACCCCAGGGGTCCGTGATTTCTCGGGTGCTGTTCAATCTCTGCACGATCGGATTGTCGAAAAGACTGGCTAGCGTGGACGGCATCAAGCATACCATCTACGCCGGCAACATCACAGTCTGGTGCGTTGGCGGCAGCGAAGGCCGAGTGCAACATGCCTTTCAAGAAGCAGTCACCGAGGTGAAATCGTATTTGCGCCAAACGGGACTCAGATGCTCACCAGCCAAGTCGGAGCTCCTGCTCTACAGAAAAGAACGAGGTGGCCGACCTAGAAACCCGTCGAAGAAAGCGGTATACACATTTACACGAGTGACGGCGAGAAAATCCCGACGGTAGACACCATCCGGATCCTCGGCATGTTTATTGAAGCGAAGGGTGGCAACGGCACTGCTCTGCGCAAGATTGTCGCCAAGACTGACAACTCTTTTCGACTCGTCAAAAGAGTCTCCGGGAGACATAGAGGCCTTAAGGAAATTTGTTAAGGCTCATCAATGGGTTTGTGCTCTGCCACTTTAGCTACACTGTTGCCATGCACAACTGGCTTAGGTCGGAGTGGGACAAGCTCGACGTGATTATCAGAAAGATCGTCAAGAAAGCACTGGGGCTTCCCGTACGCACACACACCGAGAAATTGCTCGCGCTTGGTGTGCACAACTCTGCTGCCGAGATAGCGGAAGCGCAGCAACGCTCGCAGCTGGCTCGCTTGTCCGCTACAACGGCTCGTCGGCGCATACTTGGCGAGCTAGGTTTTAACCCAATGGAGCTGGAAACAAATAACGTGCGTATAGCAAAACATATACAGGAAAACGTCATTGTTGTCTCAATACCCCGCAACACTCACCCTGTACACAATGAGGGACGTCTTCGGGCAAGGGCGACGGCTCTACTGAAGAAACTGGGAAAAGGTGGCGTAAATGCAAGTTTCGTTGACGCTGCACCATATCGAGACGTCAAAAAGTTGGCAGCGGTGGTCGTGGATCAGGCGGACTCGATTACGAACTGCCCCACGGTACGCACAACGAATCCGCAGGTGGCCGAACAAGTGGACATCGCACTCGCTCTGCTAAATGGTCGGTGCGAAGAGGTGTACAGTGACTCCAAATCCGCAGTCAGAGCCTTTCAAAAGGGCCGCATATCAACACAGGCAGCCAGGATCTTGAACAGCTCCACCAGCGATACGATTGTCCCTCACACCATACATTGGTTCCCCGCGCATGTCGGCTCCGTAAACGGCGTTGCACTGAACCCGAACGAGTCGGCCCACACAGCAGCGCGCGCACTCACTGACCACGCTGCTATCGACCTGGGCGACGGCTCCAGTACCGACGACGTGGGACACAAAGACACACCTACTACACGCAACGAGATTACCAAGTATTACTACATGGCGAGGCGGGCATTCCCAATGCCACATTCAAAACTCAATAGAGCACAGGCCATCTCGTTGCACTTACTTCAAACCCATTCGTACCCGACGTTAGCATACCTAAATGCAATTTATCCTCACAAATTCCCCGATGCCGCCTGCGCCGCTTGCGGGCAGACTGCTACGTTAGCACACATGCTCTGGGAGTGCGGGTCGCTTGGACCGACTTATAGCAAACCCGAGTGGGATGCGCTTCTGCACAGCCCAGAACTTCAGGACCAAATTCTGGTTGTCCAGTGTGGCCGCGACAGGGCCGTCAGGCTAGACCTGCCGGTCCCCACGTGGGAGTAGCCGGGCGACGCGTGGCAACCTCAGTGTCTGCACAGGACCATAATAAAGTTGTTCTCACTCTCTCTCACTCACTGTCACGTGCATTTTCGTTCATTAGCCTCAGAGGTTATGACCTGCATGCATTATGGGTTACTAAACGTGACTACATGAATCGGCCGTGGTATGTTACTCTGTATTTATATTTGTTACAGACTTCTGATTCAAGAAAAAAACTAGACAAATCGTATTTTTTGTTATGTTGAAATAAATATTGTGCTTTTTCATAGCGCAGGTGTACGCAATGAATTTAAATTATATAGTGCAAACTTGTCATATAAATACGAGCGAAACTCGTAGTACAACATATTTTGCCTAAATAGTTGGTGAAAGGATACATTAGTTATATACTGAACGTTAGGCACTGATAAAATTAGGGGGCCATTTAGATTCGCCTTGAAGAGTTAAACGCCACAGCAATATCCAGTCCCTACTGGGTGCTTGAATCACTTGGTGCACACTTTTTATTGTATGATGTTACTCACCAAGCTTGAATTGCGGATTACTACAATGTAAACCCTATTGTTTAAAATGTCTTGTGTCAGTGAAGATTTCGCATACCGCTGCATTTTCTGTACTATGTAGTACGATATAAACCATAGGTAATTATGTACATGAAATGTCTTCGAGGTGCTATTCACACTCTACGTCGTGTTCAGGGAATACTCGTAGTAACGTGTGCGCCTTTTGTAATGGGCGGCTGGCTGTAAACCATGAGATAGTTATAGTCATCATCTGTTCTGACGCCGAATGGCAATGTTTGCTTGTGCGATGCAATATTACTGAAATGTCATACGTATTTTATGGATCATGTTAGGAAATTCATCAACCGCTGTAAAGCAGGGGTTGCCCCGCCGCGGTGGTCTAGTGGCTAAGGTACTCGGCTGCTGACCCGCAGGTCGCGGGTTCGATTCCCGGCTGCGGCGGCTGCACTTCAGATGGAGGCGGAAATGTTGTAGGCCCGTGTACTGAGATTTGGGTGCACGTTAAAGAACCCAGGTGGTCAAAATTTCCGGAGCCCTCCACTACGGCGTCTCTCATAATCAAATGGTGGTTTGGGACGTTAAACCCCACAAATCAATCAATCATAAAGCAGGGGTTCTATCGCTCGGCGGCTCAGTCGAAGATCTCAGGCTCTATTTGGGTCACTGCGGTCACATTTTCATGGAATTATGGAAGCAAAACGGCAGAAGCCCAAGTACTCATGTCAGTGCACGCTAAAGAACACATATGGTCGATATTTCCAGGACCCTTCACTGAGACGTATGACAAGATGATACCGAGGCTTTGGAACAAACCTCCACATAATATTATTAGGAAACACAGACGTTTTTTTTTTTGTATTTCTAGGACATTTTATGGAAGCAGTTGTGTTGTTTGTTGAGTACTTCGCTTGTAACTTTCTTCATTCACAGGCGAAGAATGACCAAAGATAAGGATCCTAAACAGGGTGTTGAAGGTATGTTTTCGAATAAATTTATAAACTACTTTACTGCACAAACCAAGTCCACATAATACACTTTATGTCACTTTATAAATCTGTCCTGCAGTCACGCCGTAGCGGCACGTTGACGTCACGCTCTCCTCGCAATGTGCGCTGACGTCACTCTCTCGCGGCGAGCACGGTGAGCACGGCGAGCACGCGAGAGAGTGACGTCAGCGGCGAGCACGGCGTCAGGGTGCTGCGGCGAGCATGCGCTGACGCCACGTGCTCGCCGCAGCACCCGCCGCTGCCGCCTCGTCCGTTCACTCGCAACACATGCCGCTACCACCGCTCGCTCCCTTACCACAACCGCCGCTCGCTACACTACCAACTGGTAAGTTCAAGAGGAATAATCCTTACGGGTGCCCAACTTACGTGTCGAAACATATCTCTACATGTCACCTGTCTCTCGCTTCAATCTCTCCATCACAAGCAACTTTTGACCCCTCGTTGAGTGAACACTCTTTCGGCTCGTTTATCTGCAATAGAGATGACACTGGAAGACGACGCTTCTTCGCCCGCCCAAACATCCGGCGAAGCGATTAGGCGTAACCATGCCGTTGCTGGCGTTGTGAGGGTTAGCGAAGCCGACCGCGTTTGCCAATAGTGGCGTCGCACCTGTAACACCGCAGTACCTGCGTTAGCGCCGTTCAACCCCTAACGCCACCCATGCGCAACGCTGCTGCTCCGCATCCCATCACGTTTCCCTTTAGGAAGTTGGTGTGAATTTTCGTCTTTTTTGAAATTTTTCTGTTTAGGCGCATGTACCTTGATGATTTTTTTTTGTTGGACCAGTCATGGTTTCTTCAAGTTATTTTGTTTTTTTTTTCAGTTTTGTAGGTGATAGTACCTCTACCATATGAAAATTTTTGGAAGCTATTTTTTTGTTGCATCTTCAAAAAATTTCCAGTTGCGAGTGTATGCCTGTGTTGCTCTCTTCTCCGCACTGTAAGCAAAAGCTATCCGAGGTTTGGGGTTTTTGCGGCTAATGACCCGTGAAACCCTGTCGCGTTTAGGATTACTATCTCGTGTGGGAGTAAAAGGCGGCACATGTCTTACCACCCCTCTAATGCACGTAGTAAAGGGATGTCCAAATCCAGTTTAACTTCGTGGAGAGCTGTGTCAAGTGAATTTTAACCAGCGTTTCAGAATGTATTGCCACGTTACTGCAAGCTGCGACTTCTTCGGCGGCTCCCTCTCTTCCTCGAGTGGCGCTCTCAGTGAATCGTGAAGGTATGCCAGCACGACAGATGGTATTTTTGTTTTTCTGAGATGGTATGTCATTGTCGCGCCTCTAGGCTGACCACGAGTCAACGCACAATCACTGGAACCGTGTGCTGCATAGGCACAACTAACGAGGAAAACATTTTGTGAAGGAATTAAAAGGGCCTGTTCCAAGAAAAAGTAAAAAGAAAAATGCTGGAAAGTTGCCTTGAAGACTCTCACAAATCGTCGGCTTTAGCTGTCCAGTGGCCCTGGAGACAGGTGGTATAAGACGCTCCATGCACCAACCGTTGTCAGACGTCTAGCGCGAAGGCGAACACCGATACGAGGCAGACGGAACCAACGAGCGGCCCCTCGTGAGCACGGTCACAACTCGCACGTCGATCAGTCTCTTTAGTTGGGAGTACATGACCTCGTAATGCGCCATAGATAGCGGACACGTCTCTTATTACGATAACAATTATGTGGGCAGTCTCGGCTGATTTTTGCCGTCGTCGTCGCCACCACCGTCGTAGCAGGAGCCGCCGCCATTCACGTATATATATTTGATGGTTTACGAGTGAAAGGAAGATGAGGAGGAGGAAGAGTTAGGATAAACTGGTGTTCTGACTGACGCCATGTCTCATCTGTTACAGTATATATATATATATATAGAGAGATATATATATATATATATATATATATATATATATATATATATATATATATATATATATATATATATATATATATATATATATATATATATATATATATATATATATATATATATATATATATATATAGGCAGGCATGATGGTTGAGTGGCCGTAGCGTTGCATATAGTCCAGTAGATCCTCCGTGAGCGGTCACAACGTGGTTTATTTCGACGTTTCGGCCTAGAGTCTGGCCTTCATCAGGATTATCCTGATGAAGGCCAGACTCTAGGCCGAAACGTCGAAATAAACCACGTTGTGACCGCTCACGGAGGATCTACTGGACTATATATTATATATATATATATATATATATAACTTCGGTTGCCGCAAGGTTATAAATATGAAAGTAGATGCGCTTTCACATAACAACTGTTTATTGTGCCGACGTTTCGACAGGAACCCTGTCTTTTTCAAGGCCTTGAAAAAGACAGGGGTCCTGTCGAAACGTCGGCACAATAAACAGTTGTTATGTGAAAGCGCATTTACTTTCATATATATATATATATATATATATATATATATATATATATATATATATATATATATATATATATATTGAGCATCGCTTTCCAGTCAGGGTCGTCTGCGTGCGCGCTGATCTCCTGGGCAAACATGAGGGGAGTGGGGGGGGGGGTGCTCTTATGGTTGCCGCGTTATCACGGCAACGAGTAGCGCACGGCTTGTGCCCCCAGCAGGCGGGAGCTTCTACGTGCTGCACTTTCAACATGAAAAAAAAAATTGGTGCAGAAAGTGTTTGAGGAGTCTCCAGCTTTTACCGGTCTTGAGTTGGCCCTCCATAGAATCACAGAGCTCATCCCATTGCTGCTTGCATAAGACCTTGCAATGATCTTCTACCGTTTTGTTGACATTTTCTTGCGCAGTCTTCTGTTATGGCGCTGAGTCTTCCATCTCGGCAACGAGTAGCGCACGGCTTGTGCCCCCAGCAGGCGGGAGCTTCTACGTGCTGCACTTTCAACATGAAAAAAAAAATTGGTGCAGAAAGTGTACCCAGAGCAGCCGTGTCCTCTTACACCAGCGTTTTGTAGAGTTACGTGAAATCGGATTTAAATGAGCTGACTACCAGCCTCCCTTCGTATAACATTACAATTTGCCGCTATCGCATTTATTGCTTCAATTTCCCGGTGAAACTGATTTTGTGCAATCATCCCTGCCACACTCGCGAGCTGCACTTTAGAACATGCGCACGAGTATATGTAGCCACCGAGAAAGCTTCTTGATACACAGCTAGGTATCCAGCGGCTATGCACGTTTTCCAGGCTCTGTCTCATTTGTCACAAGGTATTTAAGCCTCATACGCCGGGAAAATATCTGAAACGTTTGGTACCCTATAAAACCACATTCGTGTCACTTAATTTTCTTTACTGTGTTCTCACTGTCTCAATTATTTATGTACTGAGACAAACCAAAGCGGCAATCGCCTTTAAGCCCGTGTCTGTATGACTTTCCGACCACGCGCATTTTACTTCGCCCACTTACGTCGGCGAACGTCTTTGCGCGCATTTCAAAATTTGAGGCTACAACAAACCAAGGTATAGGTATACTAATGCCTCTTTATACGTGCTAGTGCTTGCACAGCCACTCCTGTCACGTATGTTCAGCTGCCCCTCTTCAGTGTATCTCCACGCATGCACAGAAGCTTAGCTATATGTTGATTTCAGTCGAGTGACCACACTGGAAGGGCTGTTTCTAACAAACGCAGAACAGCACTTCATCTTTCACTATGGTAGAGGAAATCCCGATCGCACGTTTTCAGATGAATTTCGCCAATCGGAAGCTCATGAACTTGTTACAATCACCAACAAGTGCTTCGTCAACTTTCAGTCATTGCATACATTGGCAATTCGCAGCATGAACCTACTCTCGTTGCCCACGCACGCCATCATGTCGTCTACGAGATACCTCTATTGTGCTTCACGGAAACGTGGTTGGACACTGCCACCGAACTACCAGGGTACAAGTGCATCAGCCTCGCAAAAGGGCAAAGCCGCTGAGCTCCTGGAGTCGCCATTCACGAACGCTTCAACGGGACAACATTTCTACTGCGCACCGTTCCATACCAATTCCACTCGCTGCCCCAGGTGGCTTGTGGTGATACTTGTGTCTTCAGTACATCTCACGACTTCATCGTAGCATTAGTCTATATCTCGCCGGGATCCTCGCGGAACGACATAATTAAGTTCTTGCTCCACATATTCAGGGCGGTGGGCCAACGCACGGACAGACAGACGCACGGCGCGGGTGAATAAGTATTGTGCTGTCGTATAGTTGATTACACATATAGTCGGTCGTTTACAGATATGTTTCCATTTTACGTTGTGCAGGTGTTAAGAGGCGGTTTGGGTTTTCTGGGACATGGTGGAAGCCAATTACGTCACCCCCAAGGAGCTTGGCCTTAGGTGTTGGAATGAATTCTCGGTGGCTACGAACGCATAAAATAAATATCATGGTCCCAGCAGAAATCAAACCCCGGCATTCTCAGTGACAATCAAGTATTAAACCACACAGTCACGCCGCATAGACGGTAATGTTCGCGCAACGTCAATTGTAGATGCACTGCTGGCCATTCAATCTTACAAACGCTACATACGTATTTCTATTGTAGTGGCGCGAGAAGAGGAGACGTGAGATGACGTCGAAGGCGGCCGATGGGGCCGTGCCTATCTCGCCACTTTATTCCAGGCCTGAAGCGGAGCCACGTCGACTACCAGCGTCCAAAGCGCCAGGCCAGAAGCTCTTTCTAATTTTCGCGCAGCTTGAGCTAGCGCGCTTGAGCTAGCGCAGCTTGAGCTGCGCTAGCTCAAGCGCAGGAACCAGTGGGTCTCTGGTGGGCGACACTGAGAGTTGCGCAGTGGACGAAGAAGTAAGCGCTCGATGGAAAGAAATCCGTAATGACGGATGGCTCGGTCCCAGAGGTCTTCAATCGTGGAAAGCACCTCTGGAATTTTGAGGTCTCGCGCCCTTTGTGATGCGTTTCTGTAGGCGAAAGAGAGGCCGTACGCAGTGACGCTGTGAAGCGACGCGTGACTGAGAACGTGCTCAACTGGTGCACTAAAGTGCGGGCTGTAAAGCGTGTCAAACGGGCCCGTGTCGTAGAGGCCGTCGTAGAAGGTGTAGTCACACACGCCGTCCGCAGGCAGCGGCTGCGACTCGTTCGTCGCCGTGCCGAATACGCGGACCACGGGAAATGGCGTCATGGGAGGCTGTGCAGGAAAGACGGGTTCAGTTGTCGCCTCAGTCACTGTCGAGGTATTCGACGCTGGTGGACTGGTGGCAGTGCTTGTTCCCATGCTTTCAGTTGGCTCCACAGTGGTTGTAGTTAGGTCGGTTGACTTGACAGACGTCATAGACAGTTCAGTTGGCTGGTCAGACGTCGTAGGCAGCTCAGTTGGCTCAACAGATGTCGTAGGCAATTGAGATGGCTCCACAGATGTCGTAGGCACTTCAGTTGGCTCGACAGGGGTCGGAGACAGTTCAGTTGGCTCGACAGATGTCGTAGATAGTTCAGTTGGCTCGACAGATGGTGTAGGCAGTTCGTACGCGGGACACGCGTCGCTAGTGGCCAGACGAGAGGAAGTCGGGAGGTAAATAACGGGTGGGGCCACGGTTGGTAGCACACGTTGCGACGCAGTGACAACCCCAAAGTCGCGGGCCCCTGGAAGCGGTTGGTACGTGAGGCCATTGCGGGCGAGCACCGCAGTGCATAGGGCATCATAAGGCTGCGGGCTGGTGCTTGAAGTGGCAGCGAGATGAGCAACTCTACCGGAAGGGCGTCATGAAGAATGGCGTGCATCAGCGACTGGTCCGTGACGCCATTCACCGCCAGAACGGTATCGAGCTGCATGAACCATACCTTGGGGTAGGTCGATTGGAACGGCGGCACTGGCGGGCAGAGTTGCGGGAACATGGCCGCGGGCCGCTCGACGAAGGACGTGTTCTCCGGGTCACCAATGTAGCGGCGCGAGAAGAGGAGACATGAGATGACGTCGAAGGCGGCCGATGGGGCCGTGCCGATCTCGCCAATTTATTCCAGGCCTGAAGCGGAGCCACGTCGACTACCAGCGTCCAAAGCGCCAGGCCAGAAGCTCGTTCTAATTTTCGCGCAGCTTGAGCTAGCGCCAGCTGCGCGAGAGACGCGGCGCGGTGATGGAAAAAATGATGATGGTGATGATGGCACTACACTATTATATAACCCTCACGTCGGCTTAACGACAATTATAGTGAGGCGCCATCCACTGAAGCTCAACGATTGCGTTAGCGTCTCTAATATTACTGTACTTAGACTGATATTTATCACCTAGCATTTGTCGACTGGCACTTGTCTACTTGATAAGGTACGTTTGAGCATCTGGACTGATATCATCAGTCTTCTTGCATTGTTACGCATACGTATGTTTTGAACTCCCTTTCTTCTTGCTGAAGAGCTTACTCTGGTCCCTAGTGATTTTAGCTTGAGTGTACAATGCTGATTTTGGCAAGTTCAAATTACTGTGAGTTATTAAACTGACGACGCATAATGCCATTAATGCCACTATTGACACAACAGGTGCATGCATTAATGCCAACTTCTTACAGAAAATGATTTCATTTTAACGTCACTATAAGCTTCTTTTTTCGAACAGGGATCAAATGGGGAAGAGGCGTCTGCGGCAGTTTCACGGGGGCTCTTGTTTCTGACACTGGCGACACAAATAGAACGGTTTTAACATTCACGCATGAATTATCGCACGCGTAAGTACATTGTGGGTACATATCTTTACACCAACTTTTTTCCTACCATGCTGTCTCTATAAAAATAATGAGTTTAGGGTAAAGTACTAGGCAGAAACATAAGACAGCGTATTTTCATTTGAAAGACTTTCAGAGAGTTAATGTCTATCAATTTGAATGGCAATAAATGCATAAGAGATTTAAGCATTGCCCATGCTTTCCTCTAACATGTAACACATATTTATAAACATAAATAAAAAGAGCATTAGGCGATATATATTCGTACTACTACATTGTTATGTTTTTGTGACGAGAATGGGGTTACAATAAGGCTGACAAATACAGACCTTTTATTAGATAAGTTTGTTTGAAGATAACAAAATTCATTTTACAAGCAAGATTGCGTGTGCACTGATTGCGATCACCGCAGTCATCAGCCATTGGTATTGGAATCATTGGTAGTCTGATCGTCGGATTTCATCGATGCAGGAGTGAATTTTCAAGAACTATTGTGGGTAGCCGCGTTAGTTTCAGTATAAGGTCAGCGTCTCACTTTTACGCCCCAGTAATACAATCGGAAGAGCTCTAACGCATTCTAATGCGGCCTGCATCGAGCAGTGGTTTTAATTGTGATGAACTGGTTACGAAAAGAAAGTGTGCATAGCAATATCACAAAATACATAAAGTTAACAAGTGATATAAGGCGTACGCGCACTTAATTGCCAGTTCCCTTCAACCCAGAAATTGAGATGTAATGTTTATTCAAGTAGTTTTGTCACGTTCCTGCACTGTTCTCGTTATAGGACGCGCATAATGCCCCACTCTTACTTCACGCTACATAACGAGAACTTACATTTTGTCACTTAAGCGAATCAACTTTTTCCCTCAAACGGAGTACCAAAGTTTAAAGGATTTCCATGACCTTCTTGTCCCTCTTTAGGCTAATGTTTCAACTTAAATTGTTTACAGCGAAGGCTGCTATTAGATCACAACGAAGGCTGCTCATGGTGCAGTAGTTGACCGCTGCCGCCGCTGTCATCCATAGCCGCAATCGGGTGGAATAAGAAATAAAGCGAAATAAGAAAATGTAGCCAAGATAGAAACGGGTTCAAACCTGGGTCATCTGTGGTAGCCTATAATTTTACCCTAGAGCCATGCTGGCGCACGAAGTTATTAGGCAAGACTCTAGACAGGCGTAACGTCGGGAAGGGACCACGCTAGCGTATACGTAATATTGTCTTGTAGAAGAGCAAAGCGAAAACCCGGATTCACACAGTGCGTATTGTGAACCAGTGACAGAGAGAGAGAGAGACCCAAGTAAAGGCATGGGGGGTTATCTGAAAATAGAAAGGGAAGAGGAGAAAGAAGGAGATGCACACGAATGCAAGATTACATTTAGGAGAGCACATCCAGTCTATAAGCGGTTCCTCAGGAGTATCACAGTACGAACGGCGTTACGAGTGGGCCGTTGAATGCTTCAAACCCAATACAATGGGCTCAGCTATAATTCATCATCACCATCAGCGCAGCTCATCAACAAAGCGCTCATAATGCCTTTCGAATGCGTAGCGGGTACCTCACATACCGGCAGATTGGCGTAGTAGGTACCTTACAAGCGTACTTGCATTTGTAGTCCCAAGAGAGTTTACAACGGGTTTTAGAAATGGTGGTCTCAGAACTTTCACTTTTATGCCACTCATAGAGTAAAACCGCAATAAATTTACTTAAAGTATCGGTTAACCTACATGGATTTATACGTCTACTTGTACTTTTAGGCTTGGGGCGAATCACGATGGTGAAAAAACCGCAAAGTCATGCACAGACGTTGGACGAAGTATAATGAACCGTAATTTTCGTGGAATTGGAACATCCTACTCATTTTGCAGCATGAAAGACATCAATACCTTTTTGAAGTAAGTGTTCGCTCATTTGGAATAGCAATTGTATGTACCCTTCCAGCACTTTAGTTTTCGCTTTAACTTGGTAGGAAGCAGCAGACCGCATGCAGCTTACCAAATACAGCATTCTGAAAGAAGATAACGTAAAAAGGGCGTCTTTTTTGCCAAAAGCAATATTTATCATCTATCTTGCGTTCTTGTCCTTGCCTTATCACTGCGCTACCTGTGCTTTCAGGCCACCAACAACATGAGCGTTGTCAGTGTGCCATACCATTCTCCATAGGAAAGTGGCCAGTGCCGGGATTTTAAGAAAGGAAGGGCAAACAAGCCAGATGATGATTATTGTTGGGGGAAAATGCACCATTTTCAGTTCATCTTTTTTTTTTAGTGAGGGTTCTCTTCCTTTCCGTTGAAGCCATACACACCAAGAATGTTGCTTCACCCTCTGCGGCTGCCATTTTGTACGTGCTGTAAAGTCGTGTTACTCACGATGCCAGTGATTGTAACCTCAGCGCATGTTTCTGTCCTACTTTTTTTTTTGATGGGGCGTTGCGCTACTTGCCTTTCTGTTATGGTAATGACGTGGTATTACGCCGCCATCACGGAACCTCCACGTCATCAGTAAACACTATAACCAGCAGACTGCGAAGAATGAGCGAGAGAAGACACGACACACCACGCCTCGCGAGTGACGGTTTTATCTTTCTTGTCAAAAAAAAAACAGGTTACTGAACAATGTCAAAACAAAAGAAGAATGACGTTTCGGGGTCCGTAAGCATCCCTTTTTCACAGTGGTGTTACGGTTGAGCAACGGGTTTTTATGTATTTTGAATTTTCTGATTCTTGTGCTCACCAACTAATGCCATTCTTGCTGTACATTGCGCCAATTCTTATATTCGACCTAGTACTCAAGAAGAAAGAAACGAGGCATTGAAAAGTATTATAGGTCGGTTTTAAGCAGAAAACTTCATGCATCCGCATATGCTTACCTTGAAAAATGCTGCGTGTAATACAAACACACATGGGAGCTTACTTTAATAAAAGAAGAGTGAAAAAAATTAGCGCATCTAGCACCAAGTTGCGCGAGGCTAGATGGGTCACACCATAGAGGGCGGGTCTGTTTTGGCTTCTCTTCCTTGTGATCTGTACAGAATGCTGGGGTATTCAGCGCGTGGCTATTGATTATGATGAAAGTTTTCTCTCTATGGGACACCGCAATACTCGAGCATAACAGCTCCGATGCGAAACCAGGTTTTGAACGAAAATATAACCCACGCATTGTGAGAGTCAGTGATGAATTCTGATATATGGACACGCTAGCCCTTAAAACCACTCCTTTCCCTCTCTCTCCAGAACTTATTCATAGGCTTACAATGCATTACGTTTTATTGGTGCATTTATGCAAGTTCTGCAAGTCCATAGTGATCAAGCTTCACAATTCACCCACCATGTGGACTAGTGCTTGCGATCCTCCACTGCTGACTCGAATACGTGATCGAATTCTAGCAGTGGCGGCCGCTTCTCTAACTCTAGTTTGCCCAGAGTGACGATTACCATAGCATCTCGTGATAGATGTCACCTTCAAAAGCAATCCATAGGCCCTGCGTCATTAACAAAGCATAAAATGCTTTTGGGCACACTATTTAAAACATTATTCTTAAGTCATAGCCCCACCAATAGTTCTTAAGGCATTTTGAAGCCTGTAATAAAGCCTAAAATTTTTCTGGTAGCTTTTGTAACTTTTCTAATTCAAGGGAGTGTACTAATAATTGTATATGAGGCAAATTATATTTCTCACACTTTCCTAAAATATGTCTTTACGTAGGAAAGATCAAGCTAAGTGCGTGTTTGATGAACTACCGCGTGCACCAGCGGTAGACCCAGAAGTTCAAAAGAGAAGAAAGAAAGAGTGTGATAAATTGAAGGAAGAAAACGAGTACTACTACGTAAGGCAGGTAAGAAAGCTCGTTGCAAGAAGCTGTAGAGGTTTTAGAAGTTTAAATCACGCGGGTTTTTCACTACAACAATAAACAAACTTTCAGAGAACATTTAGACGTATTGTATACCCCAAATATGATGGCATGCTTACTACCACCGGCATGAAAACAAAAAAACATGGGACGATGCTGATGACATGGTCTCATGTTTCTTTTTGTATCCGTCTCGTTTCGCGCTGGTCATCCATGTCAACATTTAACCCAACTTTCCATGTTAGGATACTTTCAAAGTAACAGCGAAAGCAGCGCGCGTCAACTTCAATATAAAGCGGACGCTTTCTGTGTGTCAACGTCATAAACGTGAGCACATAGTAATGGTACATACCATTGGAAACTCTGAATGTCTTATTGTAAAATAAGGAGATCATTTGAAGAGGATGACGTTCCGGAATTCACGATTTCAGACGCCTTGAGGAACGTCATGGCACCGCAGACTGTTTTAGTTGCGATGTGCCATATGAACGCGCTTGATCCGGTGGCGTCTGTGCTCCAGTGGGTAGGAGAGGAGACAGAGGGCAGGGGACGCGCATGCGCACTGGTAATGCAAGCGTGTCCCCTGCCCCCCGTCTTCTCTCCTATGCATCCCCCACACTCACCTCAAAAAGCCATCGTATGCAGTGTCTGCTAGCAAGTTTCTTGATTGTGTTAGGAGAAATTTAATCTCACGAACAATCAACATGAAGTACAATCGAACAGTACATCGTGAGGGAACACAACATCCACAGACAAACAAAAATTAAAAATTGTTACAAAAAGGTGTGTTTACATATGTACATTTCATGGCAAATGAAGAACACACAAATGGAAAGGAAAGATCTATATGTTAGGTCTTTACATGGTATTCACAAGGTATTTATGCGAGTACTAAACAAACATTAAGCTACCACAACCAGTCAGGCCTGAACACAAGCTTCACACGTCTCTCGCAGACAAACACAAACTTGCAGGACCAGTGTCGAAGAAATTTTTCCTCACCGAGAAAAAAAAGAGTTCCTCCGAAAAAACAGATAATAGCTCTTTGTACCATCGCTCCAAAATCATGAAGAGAGCGCAATGGCGACAACTTGCTGCAACCATCTCACAGCGATTGCGCCTAAGACAGTAGGCACCAGCAACAATGACAAGGCAGACGAAGCGGCTGCTTGTGCTCCGCAACCATTCAGTGGCCACTCCGTATCTCTGGGCACTGGATCTTGACCTCCAATGTAGTGCCAGTGGTAGATTTCACCTGTGTGTTGTTGAACAAGAAAAAAAATAGTAGCGTGTATGTTAACTAAGAGCGGACTGCGGGTCTCTGTGTCCAATCAGAATCTTCCACCTTTCGTTGCCCTTTAACAGCCATTGGCATGTTCCAGTAAGAAGCACCGGTCAATTACTGTGTCCTTTGCGCCTACCCAGGTTTCTTTCCTGCGTTACACTGCGATAAGTGCCAGTGTCAATGTTGTTGCCAGTTTAAAGGTCCAACCGCATGCACGCGATCTTCTAGCGACAGCGACCGCGACAAGATTTTCTGTCACGGAGGTCCACTCGTTACTTCCGGCCGCGTCACCGGTTTCTGGAAAACTAGAAAAGATCGCTTGTCACCAGAAGCCAGCGTGGCGAATTCCGGCAACATGACTGCACCCCTGGTCGTCGCTTATGTTGCAATCCGCTCTCAGTGTTTGTTATCCGCGGTACTTCAAGGAATACAAGGTGTCGACTACACGTTTTACATTCGCATCTCACTCGGAGAGTGAGAGAGTGGCCATATTTTTTCACAAGTCTTGTTATCAAAGCCTTGTTTTGATGTTTCGACGGTAGCTTGTGACACCTGGGTCGCTTTCTGCAATGCGAAATAGTCATGCAAAGCGCGTCGTCACCAACGGAGCCTATGCTTTTGGGTATACCCTGCTGCGGTAAATCCAAGAATTGCGAAAAAAGCAGGTCGTGAAATCTTTTTGTGACTTCCTTATGCCACACAACAAAGCAATTATTTGCATGTTGCCATCCAGCTGCCTTTTTAAACTTCTTTTCAAAATATATACGGTTATGCACGTGGTAGTTTTCAATCTAGCGACGCTGAGACTTTGTCGCCGTCATGTGGTTGCAGCTGTCACGACGCGTTGGCGCGACGGGCCAGTTTGTAGCTGCCGCCTGCCGCTGTCGCTAGAAAATCACGCGCATGCGCTTTGGCCTTAAGCATTAGCGCCCCCTGCTTCGCATCTACACATATTGATTGTTTGATATGTGGGGTTTAACGTCCCAAAACCACTATATGATTATGAGAGACGCTGTAGTGGAGGGCTCCGGAATTTTTCCATCTACACATGTTTCACTTTAGCGGAAGATGGTGCAATTGTTTTTGTTGCTTGCGTTCTTTAATACCTACACCAACCTTGTAGGTTGATGCTGCTTGAGGTAGCCTGGCACGGGCGTGGCCAAAAATTCTTTTCGGGGAGTGGGTGCGCAGCTCCTTCATTACGGGGAGGGCACCCACTTAATATGATAACTTTTCGCACCCTATATACTATGGCGAAAAAAATTTCGCGAGGGCGAGACGGGCCCAGTGTGCCTGCCACCCCCTGGCTACGCCCCTGTACCCTGGTAGATATGAAGCAGATTTGGTTATGTGTACATGTGTCAGAATCCTTTCGTTTTTTTTTTTCGTAATACTGTGTAGGTGATTGAAGCCACAGAATCATCACGTTTTCACTGTTTATTATAGGCTCACCACGTTAGAGCCGGATCTGTAGTCGTGAAACTTCAGCACTATCGCTAAATATTATAGCGCTGTTTGGATGGCTACATTTGAAACAAGCCACAAATGGACAGCGCACAGCACAACTATGAACGACGCCGGTTGGTGGTGCACCGCTAGACAGGCAGTCAAGAAGGTGCGCCGGTCGCGCTTTCTGCCGTTTTATTTGGTCGTTACCCGAACACGCGCGCATTTACGTGACGTCACAATTTTCTGTGCACCAGACTTGAAACGTCAAGCGCTGTGCCTGACGGAGGAGCCTCCTTGCAGACACTCAAAAACGAAAACTTCAATATTAGATTAAATGTTTTATACGTATTTCCCGGTTCCAATGTGGGGAGAACGTTAACACTACATTCCAAGCAAGCGAAAGACATCCGTTTGCCGTACCTTAAAATCGTGTAAGTACTTCGTTAAAGGAATGAGCAGAGTAGCTTCTGAGCGTTTTTTAGTGGGTGACCAGCTTTAAAACATGAATTCATTGTGATAATCGCATGGTCTGACATTCGATGCCAATGTAAGTTTGTACCGCGCATCATTACTGCAATATTTCATTATCTATTGTGAAACATGTATGCACGACGGGTATGTTTGTTAACCATGACAATTGCTTTCACTGCATTTCGAAGCGGAGAAAGTTATTATCACTGTATTCAAAAGCTGCAGCGTTGCTGCGTGATAAATCATCCACTTTTCAGCAAAAAAAAAACGAGGGAAATCTTCACTATGATCCAGGATTTCTTGGTTATTTTATTTGCATCGCTCTTGATTTTTTGGTCACGCATAAGGTGGTGGTTTACCGCTCACAACCAATGACGCCCACACTGACACTGATGCCAGGCTTTTTGTGAAACGAGCTTTTTAACACGATGGCGTTTATTATAAAATAGCGCTTAAACGTCGGACACAGTAAAGAAAGGCAAACATGGCGCTGATACCTTCATTTGTGTGTCGTGGGCTGAACGTCTGTTTCATATATTTATCATAAAACTTCACCAGTTGACCTAATCTGCTTGTTTTCTACACTCGCTATTATGACATCGAGCGCGGGTCACTAGCACTTCTAGGTCTGTGAGCACATAAACACCTGATAAATGAACAAGAGGACGATCACTGCCGTAGCTAAATCAGTAAGAGCATTGGTGGTCAATCAACTTACTTTCCGTTCTCTACAAGCTATTTACAAAAATAACAGCTAATATGATTAAGGTGACATCAGATTTCAATCAACCTAGGGACAAAGCAGAATTTCGTACATGCTACAACACAATAGGCCATACTCATACTATCAATCATGTAATAGAGAAATGCGTGGAATACAACCAACCTTTATACATAGCTATTATGAGTTTTGAAGTGTTTGCCTCAGTTCAGAGATCAGCAGTAACGTGGGCACTACAGCATCAGGGCATCGAAGAAAACAACATAAACATACAGAAAAAATGTACAGTGGATCCACAGCCACCATAGGTTTCTGAAAAGAAAGTGACATAATCCCAATAAAGAAGAGTGTAAGGCAGGTAGACACGATCTCTCCTACGCTATTCACCAAGTGTTTGGTTTTGAGGACCCTAAAATGAAAGAGTTAAAGATGAGAGTTGATGAAGAGTATCTTCGTAAGCTGTGATTCGCTGATGACATTGGTTTGATCAGTAAATCAGGGGAAGAATTACAGCTCATCATTACTGAACTGGACACGGCAAGCAGAAAAGTAGGTCTGAAAATATTTATGCTCTAAAAGTAACATGCAAAAGTCTCGACAGAAAACAGCACTTTGCGATAGGTGGAAAGACGCTGGAATTTGTAAAGAAATATGCCTATTAAGGACAGGTAGTACCATGAAGCCGAATCATCAGAGTGAAATAAGTAGAAGAATAATGATGGCGTAGATTACATTCATCACGAATTCTCAACTCATGAATGGTAGTCTGCCACTAACCCTCGAGGGGAAGGTACATAACAGCTGCATCTTTCCGGTAATTACCTACGTATCAGAAACCTCGAGGCTTATATGGAGGGTTCTATTCAAATTGAGGGCGACACATCGAGCAATAGAAAGGAAAATTATAGGTGTAACCTTAAGAGACAAGAAGAGAGCAGAGTGGGTCAGAGAAAACACTGGGGTTAAAAATATGGTAGTTGAAATCAAGAACATGAAATCGACATGGGCTGGGCACGAAGCACGTAGGCAGTATAACAGCTGGTTATTAAGGGTAATTGAGTGGATTCCCGGAGAAGCCAAGTGCACGAAGGAGAGACAGAAAGTTAGGTTGGCCAATGAGATTGAGAAGTTTGCGGATATAACGTGTAAACGAAAAGCACAAGACCGGGTTGATTGGCGGATCATGGGAGAAGCCTTTGCCTGCAGTGGGCACAGTCAGGCTGATGATGATCATTATCGTGGTGATCATGAAGGTGCCTAATCTGAAGGCTACAGGTTGGGGTGCTACCGGCGGCATCTTTTCTTTTCGTCCACTTCACTTTGTTCGTATCCATGTCACAATTACTCTGGTATACCCCACCGTGGTGATCTAGGGGCTAACGTAATCGGCTGGTAACCCTCAAGTCGTGGGATCGAATCGCAGCTGCGGTGGCTGCATTCTCGATGGATGTGAAAATGGTGTAGGCCTATAAGCTCAGACTTGGGTGCACGTTAAAGAACCCCAGGTGGTCGAAATTTCCGGAGCCCTCCATTAAGGCGTCTCTCGCAATCATGTGGTGGTTTTGGGACGTTCAGTCTCACTTTCCAGTCAGTTACTGCAATATGCTCAAAACAGTACAATCTATACCTTCTTTGGCTTCATTATGTGCTTCTTTCACGAAGGGTGTGCCAAGCAAAAAAAAACATCACTATTCCTTTCTTTCATTTATTCAGAGCTAAATGTACAAAACAGCTGTGTCAGGTGTATAGGGACTTAGCACGCTTATGCATATTTATATGCACAATATATTCACTTCATGCAACAGCCAGAACAAATATGAAAAATTAATAGCGCCAGCTCAGTCGGTACATCAAATTTACAAGCAGTTTTTTTTATGCAGTTGACCTATAAAATAGAGGGAGAGAAAAAAAAGGAAAGGCAGACAGGTTAATCAGATGCTACGATGTAGTATGATACCCCGCACCGGGTTTGAAATAGGTGGTTGAAAGAGAGAGATAGATCAAAATAAATAAGAACAAAAACTAAGACACACACGCACACACAGAATAAATCCAATCAGAGTCGTTCAGATAGATCTGCAGTGCATAAAAAAACCAGTAGTGCTTGCACGGCCTCCTGTGATTATGAGTCTAGACGATGGTGTAGTATACTTTCCTCTTATTGAGGCTGCTCATCTGATATATTTAGAGAATTAGAAAGATCTTGTCTTTGTATTTTATATTCCGGGCAGTCGCACAAGACGTCTTAAATTGTCTCTTCACCTCCCCATTTTATGCAAGCAGCGGTGTCGGCCATCCCTATATGCGGTACACGTACGCACGGCTAAACGTGACGCCTAACCATAGTCTGCACTGAATAGTAAAGTAACCTCGTCGCAGTGTTGTTGGAAGACGGAAGCTTGACTTAAGATCAAGGTAGTGCAATCTTGCATGCGTAAAAAGTGGTTCATTTCAATGGGACATGGAGCATTGGCGAGCAAGCATGCGGAGCTTCGTAGCAGTGTCGGTGCTAGACAGAGGTATCGACAGGTCGTGGTCTTCTGTATGGGCTAAATGGGAAGCTTGATCGACTTGTTCATTACCGGTAATTCAACTGTGACTTGGCAACCACTGAAATATAATGTGGTGCTCTTTCTTTGATATATAATTTCTGCCGTCTCAAAAAACCTCTGTTCCAGCGTAACACGGCGTAGACATGACAGAAGTGACTGCAGTACCACCTTAAAGTAGCAGAAGATCGTCCACCATTGCGTGCTTTTGCCATCAACCGAAAGTGATTAAAGAGTTCCCATCTCGCCAGACAACTTAAAAGAAGGGAAAATATGCTAATGAAGAGAAGTTCAGCTCCATCTCGTTGCAGATTTTTGTTTTTGTGTAGATTGCGCACGAATGTTTTTGGTGCATAATTATTAGAAACTAGCATGCAGTGTTATGATGGGCAGCTCGAAAAGCCTGTTATAGCCGTGCACTCGTCATTATACGCGAAACTTCCTCGCTTCGTATTCACAGGCACACCGCGTATTTCGCTCTGGGGGCTCAATGCACAGCTGCATTCTAGAGGGGCAGTGGGGAGAAAACAACTTGCATTGTGCTAGTAGCTTTCTTCTACTCCGCGTAGTAATACGCGGCTGCACTATTTCATGATTTATTGTGCTCATCACATGTTGAAATGACGCATTGCGCGTCCCCCCCAACCAAGCCTCAATCGCGTCATGTGGCTCCAGGTTTACACGTTTGTTGTGGCTATGTTTCATTAGAGGACTTTTTTGGACCCGCTACGATTGTTTCCCCATTCAGGACAAACATATTCACAAGCAAGTCTGTACAGAAAACAATGTATATCACTGAAACGTTCTTTTCATTGAGTAGACAAAGATGCTGTTCATGCCACAGAATCACCAGAGTGGAAGGCCTCGAACGAGATCATGGGGCACAAGAACGCTACGTTTACGCCGCTTATTACGATCTCGTGAACTCCAACCAAGTAGCCTCCACTCGCGGACTGCACACTCACAAAACGTACCAGCGCCTCCGTGCAGTCTGACAACATAACTGAGGTTGGACAAACTGTCATTTCTATCGCTCTCGCACTTGGTATACAGACAGCGACAGTCGTTGGCAGTTCTGACGGACTCTGAAACGGCTTGCCACCGCTACCTACAAGGGTTCATCAGCCAGCGCGCCTCAATATCATAGTAAGTGCTACAGACACTTATGGTAATATCAATACGCACAAACTCTAAATTAACAGCCGGAAATTATAGACCCCGGGTCCCTTTATATTGGAGCGAATCAGTACCTTATGTAGTTGATCCCCACAGAAAATTTTTCATAGCGACAGATCTCCTATGACGCTTAGAGGCATAAATCAAGGGACTTCGATTGGAAGTAGCATACACAAACAGCTTCCTGCACAAGATACATCGATCCAACTCCCCGGAATGCCATTGTAGTCATGCAGAAGAACATGATCGCCATATTCTTTTGGAGTGCTTTAAATGCGCGAATGAAAGAGAAAAAATTAAGGAACAAATTGTTTGGACAGTCGGCCCCTCATAATAAAAAAATTACACGGACCGTGGCCTAAAATGCATCTTCAAAAAAGGCGAACATCTTCCTGACATTCTTTTCAGAAGAGACTGAACTGGATAAGCGCTGCGACAGACAGCCAAGGATATATATATATATATATATATATATATATATATATATATATATATATATATATATATATATATATATATATATATGTTGTGTGTGTGTGTGTGTGTGTGTGTGTGTGTGTGTGTGAAATATGTTAGTGCATATACTGACAGTAGGAAAGGAAGGTGTGCGTGTGAACAGTTTATGACAGTGTAAACTGTTGCAAGCAGAATGTGTATTGGCTTGATATTTCAACTAGTTTCAGTGTGCTATTATGTTTTTTATTGTTCATTTTTGGGTACCAGTCAGTATTATTCTTTTTTCGCTGCAGAAGTTATTGATATGGAGTAGCCGAGGCAATATAAACCTCAACCTCTTCACAGCAAAACAGTTAGAACAGAATAGAACACAACAGAATAGGAGGGAAACCAGGATGCGGATAGGGTAGCTATAAGCTATAAGAGCCGAAAACCTTCCAACTCCAACCCTGAGGAGCCCGTTCCCGTGCCTGGCGACTAGTCAGCCATCCTAAACCATTATAGAGGACAGAAGCAAGCGTATTCACTAGCACACAGAACAATAAATCAAGAGAAATGATTCAACTGGAAGTCGATTATAGGCGGCAAGATTTTGAATTTGCAAACCTTCAGTAATTCTCAGAAAAGTTATGGAAAGTATGGTGTAGGTGCTGAACAATGACGTGATGTTGCAACACATTTTCCCTCTTTCTCCAGGGAGGTAACTTCTGCAAGTATAGCTGCCTGTTTGTGAATTCGACCACAAATGCAGCGACAAGAGAGGTTTGGGTAAAGGAAGAAAATGGGACCCTGTGCAATCCCTCAAACCCTAAACAGGTGAGGAGCAAAGTGAACGACAGCGTTCAATCCGGCAAGGTCGTATTTGATTACGATACGATTAGTGCACCAAAAGGCATAAAAATATAAAAATAAACTTCTGCTGTTTCTGCCGTTACATTTTTTCAATACTTTTTATCTGTTGGCGTTAGCTTCTCTCCTCACAAGTACTTATATCTAGCGTTAATATGGCAACCACAGACACAAACCAGTTTGGCGTCGCTTTGTTGACTACGGGGACACGTGTTCTGCAGTGAAAAGTAGGAAACTGAAATTGGCTTCGAAAGAAATGGTTAGAAACTGGTGAAGGCAAAAAAAAAAAGAGAAAATGGTGGGAATGAGAAACATATCATGTAAATTAGCATAGTTTTGTTTTTTAAATGTTACCGTTGTATATGTTCTGCATATTACAATATTTGTTTTTGTAATGTTATTGCTTTCATTCCAGAAATGTAAAGATGGTGTTTGCAAGCAAGAGGAAACGCCTATCTCGGAAGACGAAGTAGAATTTTAGGTTTTTTAGAAAAAACAAGAAAATGAAGTTACCATAAACTGGTCGCTATATTTACAAACGGGTACGTTATCGCACTTGTGGACGATCACACAATCTGCTCAGAATTCTCATGGTTACACACACAGAAAGTATTATGTGGAAAACCAGTGAAGTACATAAAACGATATAGTTATTTCGAAACATCTGTAACGTTAGAGGCCTTCTGCTGGAATCATTTGTCTTGAAAGTATTTTCGAACAACTAAAAAATAAACGAACAAAAAAACTACTCGATCGCTCAACAAGTCAGGGCAAAGATTTGTGTTTGGCGAATCCAAAGTCTTACGTTACCTTCAAACACGAGATATATGCCTAAAGATTCTCCTCACCTGTACCCATTCAGGTATTAAGCGAAATGAGGTGGAGAAAAGCGCTAGAGGTGGAGAAAAAAATTCGAAGATGTTTGAGCTTTGCCTACAACGGTGAAATGCAATATCGTAGTAAGGCCCCATAGGCATCACCTTCTTACTTTGTGGCTTGGCTTTGCTCCGCTTCTCGGTGAACGTAAGGGAACAGAATACATCTGATTTGTCGTTTCAAACTACTCTAGAATACCTACTGCAAGTACTTTTGAAGAGCGTTCATGATGAAGAGTGGGGTGCGATTAATACGGCACACAAGAAAAGAGGGGCATAGTAGAATGCGTCAGTGTCTCTCTTGGGTGGCGTGTTAGTCACACCCCAGCCTTCGTCATGAAAGAACTCGCCCAAATTTTTATCATACTGCTGGGTACTGCCCACTACGCGTCTGTGAAGTGCCATGCGCACCTGTGTAATTTGTTGATCCTATGCAATTGTTGTTGATAATGAAGTTGATAAGTTTGTGTGGCTGATAACATTAATTAATGGGGCTCTAGTGACACTTTTGCAACATACTTATCTACTACCACAATGCATGTAGTAATGATTGCTCAGAAAAATCCAACAGGAATGATGCAAATTGCCGCATCAAAAGTGAAGTAATGAGTCCTCATAGTTCAGAACTCGAGCGGGTGACGGCGAGAAACGCTGTCTTTCGCATCCAATCCGCCTACTGACACCATAGACCGCTTCCAGTCACAGCTAGCCTCTCATGAATACATACCAGGAATGTCAGCTCGTGGTGGCCTTCACACGCTACCTCGCAAGCACTCTTTTACGGGCGAAGCTCCTTAGCGTGTACTCGTAGTGCCACTAGATGGCGCTATAGCGTTCACTCCACTCAGATGCGTAAGAGACGCGTGATTTATTGTAATAGGATACGGACAGACTGAATGTTTCGCACTGCTTTAAAATATTCATTGAAAAAACTGGGGTAAAGGTTGTCTTCACGGCAAAATGCAAGCTGGGCTCTCTATTTAAAAGAGTTAACTACTACGAATATTTAATTGTTGAGTGCTATAATGAGCCCGCGAAAATGTTCGTAGAATTTATCATAGGCATTGTGTACCTAATTCATTTATGTGGTCGATACTACATCGGTCAGACGGGGCGCTGTCTGAACCATCAACTTAAGGAGCATGCTAATCTCATGCGCGGATCAGTGGGCAGCCACTTGGCAAGTCACTGTGCGAATTGTGGGTGCACCCCGAAGTTTGATGAATGCCAGGTGATGGCAAGATATAAGTAGAAAAGGGCACGTGAAATATATCAAAAGTTTTTGATTCGCGTAGCAGGAACTGAGTATGTAAGTGCCCCGTCAATTAATTTGTTCGACAATGAATGCAAGTACTCTTTTCAGGTAAAATATCATTTCAAGCTTGAAATAAGATGGTCTAAAGCATGCGCCATCACTTGTACCTTTTTAATGTGTGTAATCTTTTTGCCCTCTCAACTATATTCATATTCCCGCCACCTGTGCAATAATTGTAATTTTGTGCTCTGTTATATCTGTACTTGCTGAAGCGTTTCCCGCGCACTAAGCAAGAACATTTCTTTCAAAAAATTTCAATTATCTCTTTGAGTAACAACAATGCGCTAATTGGCAACTCTTTCATTAAGACTAAATTAATAAAGGGTAGATGGTGACCAAGTAAATAATTCATATTGACGTTTGAGCAAACACAGAAGGTTCAAATTTGGCTAACATCAATGCTACGAGCTGAAAGTTGGCACCAAAACAACATCAGGCAACTATGTTTTCATGATCGCTAAATGCATTACAGCTGAGACAAACTTATTTGAGTTACGCAAGCCTTTAATACACAGAAACATCATAAAATATTTTATCACATTTTACTAGTTTATTACCACATTTAAAGTGATGCGAAGTAATTGCGATCAACGATTCAATATATCCGTCCTGTTAGAGTCGCCAGAATGAGTCAAGATGGATGGTTCCACAAGTTGTGAAAGTGTCTCCGCGTCATGCACTATACAGCACAGATCCAAGAAACGAAAATCAGTTTGCAAGTGTTTCTATATGAAGTTATCTGCCAAACCTTCTCTTTCACGTACCAACTCAGGGTGATTTTTTTTAATAGTTTAGGGAAAACGCGGGTATACTCTTGAGATAATTCATCACAAGACTACCATAAGTACAAGTTTGATTTGGCACCACATTATGTTGGGCACAGCGCTGTCCTAGAAGAGCATCGTCGTAGTTTTGATCATTCCAGTGAGTGCTTTGTTCTTCTCTTCGGAACTTCGTCTTGATGCCAGAAAAAGAAACAAATGGAGAAAATACAGGTTACGATTTTCTTACTACCATTCAAGTGAAAGTACTATACTAATGGGCTTAATATTTGTTATATGCTTTGTACCTTTGCTAAAAAAACAAAGACAAGTCGACGTGACAGGTGCTAGCTCAGAATAATATTATATTGAAGAAAAGTGTGGCACATGTATACTACTTCCTAGGCACAGACCCATCATCAACATAGGACAGACCCGAGGGACATACCGAAGGAAATATTAGAATAATATGTGTTCCGAGCTATACAGTGATACGCAAGTTTCAATCACACAATCAGAATTTTCTCTTTTATATTGAATAACTTCTGAAATTAACGTGCAATTTTATCTTCATTTTTGTCAAGGATCCTCGCATCGTAAAATGCCGGCTGACAAGAGTAGGTTCTTCAATGAGTGTGAAATCTTTCTTTAAATTGTTAACGTGTTCCCTAATACGATCGTTTATGCATCTACCTGTTTGTCTTAGACGTAGTATTTAACACATATTAGGGGTAGTCCCTAAAGACCACCAGCCTAACGCCGAGTCTAACGCTGAGTTTTTTGCTTAACACTGTAGCCAGTCTTGAAGACGCCGATAGATTAGTGCCACATTTGTGCTAGCTTGATGGGTGCGGGAAATACAGAAGGTGCAACCCTCCTGTGGATCACCTTTTTAGAATCATCGCTTATCGTACATACTATGTGGATAATCAATAACTATCGGCAGTTGTACGCCCTTCTAATGAACTGTAGTTTCTTTTCCAAACGCCTTGCTTTTAGCTTGTGCTGCAGAGTGCCGCCGGAGGCGCAACGACCTGATAAACGTAGCCGGCTTTGTAAAGCCGAGTCAATTGATATGCGAAACTACCCCGAAACTTTGCGCTCGAAATGCCTCCCAAGTGAATCTTCCACACACCACGTGGCTGTCGGCCTCTTCACTAGAATGGAGTAAACAGACTCGTAAAGTAGAAGTTCTTTTTGCTATATCGGCATAGTAAACAAGCCAGCTTGGTCCTCAAAAAATGTCACGCTGAAATCTAAAAATTCTAGCGTATTTCTAGTGCTAATTACGTGGTAAATTCTTCGCCACAAACTTTAAAAACATGTAATACATGGTCAATCTCTGAATTATTAAAACGACACATACAATTCATCGCAATTGAAAAGTCATCAACATTTAAACTCTTGCAAGACCATGAGGCAGTTGTCAATACCTTGATTTCTTTCCGAACGAATGTGTAAGGCAGCAAGGTGCCACGCACAAGCCTTTGCAAAATACCATCTTTTTTCAGAAGTGATGAACGTAATATTGAGATATAGTGACTTGTTAAAGAAATGAGCTATAACACACACTCACAACATCTTGAGACTGCGATACCCTACGTAGGACAAAGGAGCAGATGCGTCAATGACCACATGAGTGCACACGCGAACAATTTAAAGAACGATTTAGCTGCGCATCTTTCGGCGCATTGAAGAACCTGCTCTTGGGACTCAATATTCTGCGTCGTGAGGGTCCTTCGACGAAGTAAACAAAATGACACGTGAACACTGGAGGCATTCCGATTGAAAGCGATCGATTTGTCTGTATTTGCCAAACCTCCATTTAGTATACATCGCGGTACACACCTTGCTTCAACCGTTGCTTTTATACATCCCCTGCAGCCTGTTAAAAGTTGATGACGCGTCTGCACATCGGGAGTATTATCTAGGCCCCACATTTTCATTGTCTTTATTAAATTTGTCTTCATGTATTTCTTTCTCTTACGTTATCGTTCATAAGCGCTATAAAATGTC